AAATGTAGCTCAGAGAAAAACAGCAAAGAAATAAGAAAGAAAGCTACCTGTTTTATTCAAAAGAATATTGTTGAAAAAATTTTAAAACAGCAGTATAGAGCCGTAGCGAGAATAGCGGAGACCTATGTATAAATCTAGTATTTGATTCACAACGGCGGCTGTCAAGCTTCGATAAGTTTCCTATTAACACATATTGTAGAGCTTTCCAAGACGCATCGAATGATGTATGAATGTTTAGAGATCATTTTTGTTTCACAGAAAAAGTGAAGACTAGTTCCGTTGGCATAATAGTCTTGACCTATGGAAAAGTCTAGTATTAAATTCATAAAACCTGCTGCCAGGCTTTGTTAAGTTTCTTATTAACACATGTTGTAGAGCTTTTCATGGCGCATCGAATGATGTATTGTGCTAGTTACCAATTATTTAACATCTGAATCGAATGAGTGTTGGCTATCCGATGTACACGAAATACGCCACCGATATCCAATAAAAATTATTGCAAGTATTTTAGACAATTCGTACGTAATGAAATTTGGTATTGAAATGACAGATAAACAATTGGATGAATGGTGCTATACCATCTATAGGAAAGTGGTGATAGGGTGGCAATTGGATGGTATTGATTTGGATTTTGAATCGACAAATCAGTTTGATTACGATATGAATACACAAAACTATAATTTTCAATCTATTGCAAATTCTAGACGATTGATTCATGGTCTATCAAGATATTTTGATCGGTCATCTCATAGTGGTAAAACTATGTCCATTGTCACGGGTCGACCATTATTAGAAATCTACAAATATACGTATTATCTTTTTGATTACACCATCCTTATGTGTTACAATTGGAAATTAAAACATTTAAAACATAACTATGCTCAATATAGTAGATATACACCATCGCATAGAAGTATATTAGATTTTTCATTAGAATATGATTTTAGTCGCCATTACTATACTTATGAACATACGCCACGATGAATCGATCAACAAAAAAAAAGAAACAAGAAGCGACAACAATAGGTGGATTCATGATATTTCATATTGGTATTGATCAAAATAATAATGAACAAACATGGAAATTATTCAACTACCAGCAACAGTCAATTTGAGAATGATTTTTGTTATTAAATAATTGATATTTTAGTAATAAATGTTATAAGAAAAAAATCATACGTTAGCTGAAGATAAATCTGTTAAGAGCAAGATCGGTCCCTGTCTCGCTGTCAGTGTAAATTTTCTTCTGTAAGGTTTATATCAGAGATGCTGCTAGTGTAGGTAAGTAGTACATTGGAATAGGTGAGCAACAGTCATACTATTTGTTCAAACAGGCACGATTTAGATTAAATATATCCGTTGCTCACACATAGAGTAGTTTGGTATTCTGACGGATTCTTTCTCCATCAGTATTGGAACTAAGGGTTTTAGAATATTCTCCTTTTTCTTCTTTACTTTTTTCCTCCTCAAGAGGATAAAAATTTTTTTCCCGATTGTGGTTTAATCCACTGATTAATCATAGATATCCATTGCGGACTAATCTTTTGACGCTTATTATACGATAAATTGGTGGCAGAATAAACACTTTCAAGCTTCTTCCTTCGAAACAAATTACTTCCATTATCAAAAATTACGCTTTCATCAAATTTAATCGCACAACCGGTATTAGCATTGATATGTTGAACCAATTAAGAATTCTCTATATCAAATTTCTTAATTTTCATTTTATGTTGTTTAATTCTTTTATGTAATGATACGGTTTCACCTGTGTATAAATCACCACATTCACATGGTAACCCGTACACTGCAAATTCTCCAGTTTTTATACATTTTTCTTCACTAGTTTTATTTTTATTTATATTGTTTAGAGCAACTATTTTGCGTTTATTAACCACATCACCTATGCTAGGATTAAGTTTTGTATAAATTCTGACTCCAAACTTTTTAAGGAAATGTCTTCATTTTTCTGTCAATTCATTTACATGAGGAATAACAATAACACTCTGTTTTTACTACTAATAATAATACTCTGTTTACTACTGTTTTTACTACTGTTTTTACTGTCTTTACTATTTTTCCCATTCTCGTCTTCATTATTCTGTTTTCTCACCATTCGAAAAATTTTCTTTACCAAATCATGTGGATAACCACTATTCGTCAACATATTTATAAGTATTTGCATGTCATTGTCATTATGATTTCCATTATTTGCTATCTGAATTCTTTTAATCATATTTATAGCGATATTTTTCTTCATTGTCAGATTATGATCAGACCCATAATGTAGCAAACGGTTACTTGCCGTTGGTTTTTTATACCAATTTGTTTCTAAACATAATTTAGTTCCATTAAAATGGATTTGCGCATCTAAGAAAGATATAGAATTACTTTTCTCGTATTCATACTCAAATTTCAAATTTTCATCTAACTTATTAAACTCGTATACTAAAGATTTAATTTGATTTTCAGATAGTTCTGACACCACAAATATACCATCAACATATCTAGCTAATCCAGAATATGGATATTTTTGAAAGTCCTAGTATTTTGCTAAATATTCGTTGACAGAAATATCAGCTAAAGATGGCGATATAGTAAGTCCCATAGCCTTTTAACTGACAATAGATTTTATCACGAAACTGAAATATTACATTTTCAATACAAAATTCAAATAAACGAATTAAGCTTTCTTTGCTTAATGACGTTTCTCTCTTCCAATCTTCATTTAAGTCTAACATCTTGTCTAACGTTTTCAACACTTTATTTCTATCAATTGAAGTGAACATATCCGAAACATCTAGACTCGCAAGTGAACAATTCTTCTTAATTTTGACTTTGTAAAGCTGTTTAATAAATTCTTGTGTATTTTTAATACAATGAACTGCATCTGCTAATGATTTAGTTATCTTTGTTAAATATTTAGCTACGTTTGAACACATTGTATCCCTCATTGAGACAATGATTCTCATAGGGTTACCCTCTTTATGTGCTTTCACTTGTCCCTTCACATACGGTATGTTTTTATTATTCAATAAATATTCCATAGTTTCTTGCATCATTTCTTTCTTACCCACTAATTTCGATAATAATATCTCAAACTTCTTCTTTATTGTTTTAAATCTATCATTTTGCACAACAGTATAATCTTTCGTATTCAGTTTATCTTCAACTTTCTTAATATAATCATCAATATTCATTACCACTACCTTTTTACTTTACCAGCGGGTATCACTATAATAGTTCCATCTGATTTAAGACAATGAATAGCGTCTAGCTGTACTTTAGATAAGTTCTTAACCCCTAACTTAATATATCTATCCAAATGCATATTTACTACTTTCTTAACTTCGCTAATTATATCTTCTTTTACTCCAATACTCTTATTGTATAAATCTGCTTCAACCCCAGCGATCATCTTCGCGATATATTTCGTACTATTAATTGGTCTAGTAGGAATAAAATTCAAACCTTTTTCCAACACTGAATGTTCATAGTCATTAAGTTTTCTTGTTGTTAAATCCACTACGTTAGATTCGATATTATCTTTGTTATTTTTGTTATTATTGTTATGCTTTATTATTGCAACAACTTTTTCACTAACTAACTTCCACCATTTTTGGTACAATCTCTCTTTGATTTTATTTCTAATTCTCCAAACAATACTTGTAGATGTATGTTAATTAAATAATTTGTTTTTGTTTTTATAAGGAGTTACTTGTTTTATTATTTATGGTTTTATTATTTATGGTTTTGTTGTTAACAATACATAGACATGTGCCACGTTGCGATATTTTTGATATGTACCTTATGTATGTTATCTACTTGTATGGAAAAATGAAAAGAAGTAAAGAAAAGAAAAGTTTGGCAAACAGATAAAGAAATAGGAAGAGAGATAAAAATTGTCGTTATATGTGTGTAGTGCAATCTGTTTCGTCATATTTGTACAATTGTATTATTGTTAACGTGTTATGTAAGATATTTGAAAAAGTTCCTTGTGACAATTTATGTTTAATGTTTTTAAAATGTATTGATCTAATTTAATCTAAATTTATTTTGGTTTTTGTTTTTGTTTTTTTCACCACTGAAGAAAATTTAGCTAATAAATTGAAACGTCTGGTTTATATTATATGATACCTATAATATAATATTATAATATTATTCATTACATATTGTAAGCAAATTTAATATATTAAATAAAATTAAAGGTAAATAAAAGCAATCGAGCTGATTCAATGCGAAAGGCTGCCCACAATCAGCCGTACTCTTTTGTTTGCCAATTCATAATAGTAGTTAGACAAGAGAACAAATATCATTTAATCGTTATTTTTTATGGTTGGAGATAAAGAGCATTCATTCGTAGAGGTATACGTAGACCTAAGAAGTCGGGGCGGCAGGTAGTTGAGATATATTTGCGCAAAAACCATTTTACTGTGGAAAAATCAAAATTACAAAGGCAGATGCATGTTATAGTCTCCTATGTCGTCAACATCGGGAAGAAATTGTGTGCACTTTTAAGAAGAATTTTTTGCTGATTAAGCGCGATTTTCGGAAAAAGTCGTCAATCAATCTCCATTAAGCGCCCTTATTGCTGAAATCGTGTGTTTTTTAGAAAAATCAACGATTAACTGCGATTTCAGCAATAATGGTGCTTAATCGACATTTATCGACGACTTTTTCCGAAAATCCCGATTAATCAGCAAAAAATTCTGCTTAAAAACGGGATTAAGCACACGATTTATTCACTTAATCAGCCATTTCTTCCCGATTTTGATGACATAGGCCCTTTCCCCAGTATTTACGCTCTTAGTATTCCTATTTGAAATCTTGTTTAGATAGATTAGTTCGTTGCAGATAAAATGTTTAGATCAGTTATTAGTCACATATATAAACGTTACTTATATGTAGACTGTTAATTAAATTTCATTATTAGTTGTTGCTTGATTAGCGCATTGAAGTCCGTAAGTTGAAAATAATATACTGGTGTAGTTTAATAGTATTTTTTGTTCGGCTCGATGCTTAGGAATATTGTTAACAAGAAGTATTCTGCAGATCGGGAAGGCAAACGCAGGCGTCGTTTACATCAGTTTTGCGGAAAATATTTCTAAATATAAAGAAATTACTTCACATTGTTTAGATGTTTGCGCACATGATAGAGATCTGTGAACAAATATGAAATTCATCGTGATAGAATTTTTATCTCAAACCACTTTCCCAAAATACAACATCAGAAGAGCCAGACGAGATTTCCTCTACATGTGGAGGTATTAAAGTAATAGTATATTTCCTTACAGATAGCATGTATCTGTTTTATGTCATTTTTGAATTATAGTACATATTTTAGAACGATGCTATGAAACATGCATTGAAAGTTTTTGTATAGAAAGATCGTAATACAGATGTGTGTGTCCGAAGAGCGCAAGTTTCATTCATGAATGAAGAAGCTGTTTCCGTAGCGATTAACGAACACAATAGTATGTGAACTGTGTTTGTAAGATTCACTATAATCTGTTTGTTCAATATGCTTTTTAGATAAGTATATCGAAGCATTCCAAAGTTGTATGAATGTGTAATTGGTACGCTTATCACACTGACTGTCCTGATCTTGATTGGTGTCATTTTTTCAAGAAGCGATTATAGCGGAGACATCTGAGAAGCTCGAATGAATCGACCAACAGAATGAGAAAAATACGGTAGAGTACATATTTGTCTCCTACTGGCGAGCAAAATAGCTCAGACGTGCTTGAATTGAAGCCTACTCGATCGGAAAGGCTTTTTTCATGACTTCAGAGGATCCCCCAAAACAATTTTTTACGCAAGAAATTCGGTGTAAACTGCAATTTTTGGTGGAAAACTAGAACGAAAAATTTCTTTTTCATGACCTGGATGAAATTGAAATATTTTATTAGACCTAAATTCGATCCGTGAGTGGATCCGACTCGCTTCGATATCCCTGTCTTCTGCTGAGAAGCAAGATTAAATAGTTATGTTTTTATATATCCGATATACGCGTTTTCTAGGTTATTCACGGTACAGCTAAATTTTTTTTCACAAGAAAAGAATAATAAAAGCAACAGTTAACAAGATAGCAGAAATTGAGCCGATTTTATGTAGAAATATTGATGGTGTCAATGATATTTTGTCAAACCATGTAAAGAAAAATTTGGTTGTTCGGATAAGTTACATATAGAAAGCTAAGAGCAAAATTGAGAAATTGTATTTCATACCTTTTTTTGTAGTTCGTGTGTTAGCTGCAGACAGTGATGCTAATGTAATTAAATTAAAATGGGCTGAAAGTATAAAAGACTTCTCTTAAGTAGAATCAGAATTGCCAAACTTAATTTTCTTTTTTCCATGGTTGTACATTTTTAATTTTTCTTTTCTGATGTACATGTTGCTGCATTTCTTGTTGACTATTTTTTGAAACAGATCACTTGTTCTTCAATCTAAAGTCTGTGTTTCTTTGCCAGTAATAGAGATATACTTTAAGTGAATTAGAATTCGTTGCTGAAAATTGATGTTCTTTTTGAAAACTTTCTTTGATGTTGAACGAAACTAGTCCAACTTTCAACATACCCATTACTGGAACAATTAGCACTAGTATTAAGTTTTCTGAAAATGTAGTGTTGATGTTTGACGACGATGCGAACAAACGTGTGAATGACTACGGTGATGAATTGTTCAAACAAGGTATTCGTGTAGAAGAAAAACTGTTCCTTTCTTTTTCATTGCTGAAATTTTATTTTAGCCAATTCCACCTTAAATCAACATCTCCAATGTAGACTGACAAAAACGCATTCTGAAATTTTACGGTATGTACTTTATTTATTGAGTTGTCATATTTTTTAATGATTGTAGTCTGCAGAATATTCATTGTGCCTTCGCAGCATGGGTATACCGATGAATACATAATTTAAAAAGTAACATAAACTCATTTTTGCCTTACGTATTTATCTGCTGATAAATTCAGTAATATCTATAGAAAAACTTTCAATGAATGTTTGATAGCATCGTTCTAAAATATGCTTTATGAAAAGGTAAATCTAATCCGTCAGCTAGCTAAACTTTGTGTTTATCTAAGACGCAAATGTAATTCCCATGTGTGCGCCATAAAAGAAAATGCGATTAACACAGAGATATCCATTGCACGTAAAACTTCCAAATTTGAAATTCAGCCATGTTGTGTGCTGGAAATGAGGATACTTTATTAACAGTTTAGCTATGAGAGATAATGTGCGAATGAGACTATGTGACGAAAATTCCTTAATCCCTATAGACCTTTTGTTACACAAGAGATCACCGCAAAACAGCACAACCGCAGACTTTATAAATCTGTAGAATTTATGATTTGCACAATATTATAATTTCCGATCTTAACAATCTAAGGAGTTACGATAAATTCTAAATCTTCATACCTTCTACAAATCCAGAGCGTCATGAATTCTATAAATTCATCAATTAATAAGTTCTAAAACTTCACGAACGCTAGAAATTCGTAAACTTGATAAATTCTACAAATTCATAACGTCATGTATTCTATAATTTCATAAATTAATAAATTCTAAAAGCTCAGAAATTTCTTTAAATTCTGAAACTTCATAAATTTCACAAATTCATAGGGGCATGAATTCTATAAATTCATAAGTTCTAAAATGTGATTAATACAGAAATGTCCGTTGCGTAGATCACCCCAAAACTGCATAACCGTATAGTTTACAAATCTGTGGAATTTATGATGTGTACAATTTTATAATTTCAGATCTTAACTGTCTAAGAATTTAGGATAAATTCTAAACCTTCATAAATTCTGGAAATTCGTAACGTGATAAATTGTACGAATTCTAGAAGCCTATAGCTTATGAATTCTATAAATTATTAAATTAATAAGTTCTAAAGATCACAAATTCATTAATGCTAAAAATGATGCGTAAATTATCAGGTTATAACCTCATTACTTTATTCGACTGCCGGGCGTGAAGGAATCCAATGATGTATAGTTGACGTTGAGTAGGTTATGTTGGGAAGGAGGTTTTTTGTACCTGTCAAGAGCTAAACTTATGAGATGAGACGGATGTGTTCATCACTGAACCACACAGACACATTAGTTAGCAGAAGACACATCGCTGAAGTCGCATTGTTTTTAAAAGTGTAGCTACAATTTATAAAAAGATAATTTTGCTATTTTTTAGTTACATAGTTGTTCCTCCTTTTTCTAGACAATTCTCAATTAGCGTCTATTTTAACAACAAGAAATAGTGTTACGAGAGCACGTAAACCGTACAAAAAAGAAAAGTGCACTTTTCATGCATCAACATCATGTCGAAAATTAAAGCAAAGACCATCAACGTATGTGGCCAAATGTCTTAGAAGCTTTGGTTAAGACCCGGTTTTTCGAGGCTCTTAGAAAACTTGCTCAAAATCCCCGAAAAAACAGTTTTGTAACCAAAAACAATACAGATTCTGGAAGTAGACACTTCAGGATATCTTTCCATGTGCGTATCTCAAAACCGATTTTTTGACCGAAAATCACCATTTCTGAGAGAGAGGCCCCTAATTACTCCAAAAAGTGGAAGCAATCGATAAGTATATTAAAAACAGTCGTACAATTTTTCCATTCTCAAGTAATTAAACCTGAAATCGAAATCTATATGAATAATGTTAAATTCGTAGTAGTATCTGTCTTTAAATACTTAGGTTTAATGTGGACTGACAAACTTTCGCTAAAACCTACGATCGATAGTTGTGTAGAAAATATTCAAACGTCTTACTCAAAATTAAAATGGCTGAAGCGAAATAAAAATATCTATCCAAGGTTCTTCGACTCTGCTTCTTCGCATATGCTCTTCCCTTCTTCACGTGGATCTTCTGCTTTTTTCCCTTGCTATCAAACTTTGATGATCACAACAAGAACTATTCTACCGCAATTTTCGAGTAGGGATCCGTATTGTCTATATATGCTATTCTGTATCGGCGCACGATCTTATCTCTTTTATTAACGAAAACAATCTGATTTTTTATTTTAAATCCTGTTTAGAAAAAATACTTGCGCCAAGCCACATATCCGACTTAGTCCAATCCTTTTTCTTTAATGATATTTTTTATTGGGATTTCCTCGTAATCGATAGAAAGAAACATGGGTTAGCACACTTTTTTAGACTAAAGCGTGTAAAAAAGATGATTGAAAATCATCGATGTTACCTTCTCGAATAGCTTTCATTTCTAGACAACTGTAATTGTGAGTTGAGATAATATAGTACTTTGGTCTCAAATTCAGGATGAAAACTTGATTTTTTTAGTTTTGATTTTTTTCTCATTCGTACTTTTTCTAATCAATTAAAGATATATTTGGTCTGATGTAGCTATGGTACGATAGAGGCCGCCACTAGCTACAATTAACGCTATTTCGAATAGTGATAGCTAGTCACGAAAATAAATAATTATTAATTCTATCTATAAATGTGACTTATCTCATCTTGATTTTTTTATTTCACTGTTACGTGTTTATTTCATTTTGACCAATCCACTACACACTCACACACTCTAGCTATCATTTACCAATAGCGTTTTGGTCAATCATTTCAATTGACTAAGCTATACGAAAAATGGATGTTGATTATGACAAGGATAATTATAGTCATGGTCATGGTGGTTTTCGACCAGGTGCTGGCCGAAAACGAAAGGAAGTGACTACATCAATTCAGGCACTGGTGAATGATGATCCCGTATTGAAAGGGTCTATAAATAATTTAAAGAATGCAGATAAATATGAGAAAGCAGGCAAACAAGAAGACGATGAAGATGATGATGACATCAACATGGATGTGTTGGATGGTACTGATTAAACTTTTATGAAACAAGCACATTTCGAACACTATCTGCACTGATTGACTAGAAAAGTATAGGTAATCAATAAAGATCTTATTTTCTATTCAAATCAGTTTTATCTATATTAAATAAATAAGTTTTCAAAACTTATAAAACTATGTCACACTTTTTTAGACCTATATTTTTCCTTTTTTCTCCTGCAAAGCCAATTCGATAGTTAGCTAATATATCGTACCATTTGATAGCCGGTGGTGTTCTCTAACAAACACTAATGTATGGTCTCTAAATAATAAAAAATCAATTGAGGAGAAATAATTAACGAGACACACCCTTATCCTGAATTTGAGACCAAAGTACTATAGTCCGCTTAGTTAAATCTGTTCTAGGTTTGTCTTTCCTTTTTTGTTTTTTGTTTTTCGTATGTTAATTTTTTATGTTATTGAAAAACTAGTCTCGGGTACAGCTATGTGGTATGTAGAATGTGAGAATGACCAACATTGTAAACAAAACTTTTTGTATTTTTAAAGTTTTTTCATTACTTTTGCAAGCGCTTACGAGCGTATCAATAAATAGCAAAGCGAAAAACAAAATCGTGTTAGAAAATGTAGTTCGTGTTTCAGATTTTATCTGTCATTTAAAAGGGTTCTCTGAAGATGTCCTAGAAAGCCCTGATCACGTGATACATAAACATCACCAACTATTCAGTTTTGTCGTATTTTTAATTCTCTATTTAACCACGTATGAATCAAGTCTGTATCACACTTATCCTTACTGAGTTGTATCAAATTTAAAAAAAGTTAAATTTTGAAGTTTTAAAAATTTAATTAAAAAAATTAATTTTGAGTAAGGGATCCGATTTTTTTTCAACATGTTCGAAATTCTATGCTGAATCCGAACATGTGCTTTAAAAGTTTTTTGAGTCGCATCGATTTTCTCAAAACTCATTTTAATCAGCTCTGGTAGGTCAAAAGCCTCGGTTTTCTGGAAACCCTATCTCTAAGGGTTTTGGAGAAAAGTTTCTGGAGAGTAAAAGAAAGAAGACCTTGGGAAATAGATATGATGATCTACTGAAATTTCAGCAGATACTCTGAACAAGTTAGAATCCAAAAGTTTTACTCTGTCTTAATCTTATGGCGTTAAATTCAGTTCGACCTGCAGAGTTTCCTATGGCAAGCGAAGAAATATCGATCTTGTACACTGTTCTTTAATATTATTACTACCTTTACTCGCTTTACTCCTTTTACTCCATTTACCCCCTTTACTCTTCTGTTTCACGCATATCAGAACTATTACCCTCACTCTCACTTTATAACTAAAAGTAGCAAAAGGAGCAAACGGAGTAAAGGGACTAAAGGCAGTAAAACACTAAAGGACATACTCAATCATCTGTCAGTATCACTTTCCCATAACTGAAACGATCTCGGGCCACTTTTGTACCTTCTCCCATCTCTGGGCTTCGCGTATTCTCAAGTTTTACTCCTAAAGAGCAAAAAAGTTTAAAGTCTGTTATAATAGATATCATTATTGGTAGAGTTTTAGGAACGATAGGAATATCGACCCAAACTTTGTTAATCAATGAATCGAAAGATTGAATGGAGTGAACGGAAGATTTGCATTTCTAACGAGAAGCTTTGTAAAGGTGTTTTACAGCAGATCGAACCGTTTTATCGGCATAAAATAAGTGAGATATACTTGTGAAAAAGTCTTTGAACAGTTTCTAGCTGAGTGAGTTCTACAGTTTTTTTGAAAATTATTAGTCAAAACGAAAGTGGCCACAATAGAAAAAAAGTTGCTAAGTGTACAAGGAGTTTTTTCTCAGTTTTCAAAATTTCATAACGATAAGCAAGGATACATCTCAGTAATATTTAAGAGAGCTTTTTAGGTTGAAATTACGATTTGATGGCTAGGAGAATTAGCATCTTCATTCTCATTAGGCTTACTGTTTGGGTATCAATTTTTTTGACCACCAAAAAATACTTTTGATCACCAAATTCAGCATGCGTCTGACATTTTTATTTTTCAACAAAGTATAATG